TTGATTCTTTAGAGACTCACAAACGATGATGTATGTCCAAATTCACAATTTAAAGTATTAAGCTGTCTAACTTGCATAAAATACAGAAGTAAACTCTAAATAAAACGAGCTACAAAGTTAAAGCATGTCAAACATAAATATAGAACCATTTTATGCATATATTAGAATCGACTGTTATTGGCTTTCCTTAACCCGTCATGAGGTTAAGAGAAGACGTTAGGAGAATTTATAAAGGACTTAAGGAAAGGAGACCACGTTGCTCTGAGAATCACATTTCCATTAGGTGACGTTAACATGCAACGGAAACTGAAACTACAATTTTCTGAAATCCTTAAAGCGCATCTTAAAAACTTTCCCCTGTGCCTTCTTCCCGGTGAAATAATCCGGATCACCACGAGGTTGGGATTGAAATAAAAGCAATATAGACCACCAGGCTACGAGAATCAAAAGTGAAACCAAACAGTTGTCACTTTGAGGATGTTTGCTCACCTTCCTGTCCACTCATAAATCAGGTTATAAAGGAAGCATTGACGCACCTTTTCCTTTGCTTTTAGAGAAATCAAACGACTCTTATCATGGCCGCCACGGGTCATTTCACTCAGTTAGGAACCTTTCGAAGCAAAAAGCCAACTTTAATGTCCACTAGGAAGTAAAGCAAAGCCTCTGAAGGGACATGAGGAAATCATTTCATTTCTATCATCAGTGTTTGCTCGGAAGGCTTTAATGAGGAAGTGTGGAAATCTCTGATATCTGATGTTGTTCTTTTAGAAAAGTTTAGATACTGAAGGACTCGTCTTTGTAAAAGAAAATGTGAGAAACGTCTGAATCTTCTAAATATGAAGGGGAGTTTGGCATGACGATAATGGATTTGGCTTAAAGGTTGTTTTCGTTAATGAACAACACCGTTTTTATTTATCTTCTTGAAAAAAAAACAACAATATTGTCCAAACTCAGGTGAGTTTTTGGAACTATTTTTTGGACGCGTGCTCTTTGTCGTTGCAACAAACGAATGTCTGATACTCTTTTCCACTGGAGTCTTCGATCGTTTATTTTACTTCATGATCAGGTTCGATCATAATCAAAAAAAAAACGACATGCCTCCAAACACACACCTGAATCCGTTACCTGGAGTCTTAGCTTTAAGCACAGCACACGTCAAGACTCCACCCAGTGGTCAGTGTCGGTATGACACTCGACTCACAGTGTTGTGTTGCATAGATCAATACGAACAAGCGTTTTGGCTCCTATAACGATGTTTATCACATTTGTACTCTGCAGGGTGTGAGTCCATCCTGAGCCACCTTTGTAAATCCTTTACTGAGCTGGGTTTTTTTTTTTTTTTTTTTTTGCAAATGTTCACAAGAAATCTTCAATTTTCAGTTCAGGAGTTCATTCAAATGTTACAAAATGAGAGGCGCCAAAATGCCCCAATAAAAGTGTGTTGCTAGCTCCAGCCCTCTCTCGTTCCTCCCTCCCCTCCCTCCCCTCTCCGTCCTCTCCTCTCTTCCTGGTGCAGAGGAGGGATTTACTGACTGACAGCCCGTCCTCCATCTCCTTCTCCGTCTCCACGTTCATCCCTGAACTCCTCTCCTGCTCTTTATTTCACACTCCATATGCTCTGCTTGCTGATTTTTCTACGCCGCTCACTGTCTCATCTCATCTGCTTTTCTTCTCTTCCGTCCTCCTTAACCCCTCAATCCCCCTCTCTCTCCCCCCCCACCACCCTCTGTTTGTCTCCGGCTTATGTAAGAGGATCTATTAGTGAAGGTCGTGCAGAGAGGAGCCCCTCTGACACACTGAGATCACACAACAAGAGCGTTTCAGACGCCAAAGTGACAGCGTTTAAATTGGGACAGCTGCCCGTTTTATTTATTCCTCGAGACCGGTATCAGGGACAAAAACATTTAGCAGCTTTTCTGCTTATTTTTCTAAATTATTGGAGACAAAATGTAGATGAATATATCATGGACAATGCATTGAATAAGTGCTGGAACCATAACCACCTTAAAAGTGGATAAACAGAAAACTCATCTGCGACTATTTTGTGGGGGAAAAAAATGCAAAATCTATAATATAAGTGTTTTTATATTAGCAGAAGTAGAAAGAAACGTTTGCCCTTCAGATCCTCCACAGATGGAGGTCAGTGCTCTCAGAGCTTAAGACGTCAGAATATTTCAAAGGACGTCTTCACACAGGCAGAATCCCATAGAAAGTACTGGAGCACAAAATGATTAAAGTGCAAGCAAAGACTAATGTTTCGACCACAGACTGTAAATATTAATGGAATATTTACTGTTCCTGCAGGGGGTTCAGGAGGCTCATCAGCAGCAGTCGCCATGTTGGAAATCCTGTCTCTTCCTAACTTTCAGTCAACTTAACGACAGACTGAGAGCTGGAGCTGAGGCGGGTTTTAAGCCTCTTGACGAGCTTTAAAAAATATAGCCCCCGTACCGTGTGTGCAAGTGATGACAATAACTAATCAGGCTGTAAACATGTTTATTTCTGCTGTAAAATTGGCTTTTTTCAGCTTGGAATTTTCCATTCGAGCACGTATTAGAGGTACACTCAGTCGTTGTGTCATATTGAAACAACTTGAAACAGTGTGTGTTGACATCAGGCGTATGCTTCTATTTTTGGTGTGTGTAATCAGGCTGCACACACACACACACACACAGACACACACACAAATGTCTGTTCTGTTATACATCATCTCTGTCGGCCCCAAAATCCTTTCTTTAACCTGCTCGCTGTTTTGTAATGTTGCTCCTCTTCTGTGTGTGTGTGTGTGTGTGTGTGTGTGTGTGTGTGTGTGTGTGTGTGTGTGTGTGTGTGTGTGTGTGTGTGTGTGTGTGTGTGTGTGTGTGTGTGTGTGTGTGTGTGTGTGTGTGTGTGTGTGTGTGTGTGTGTGTGTGTGTGTGTGTGTGTGTGTGTGTGTGTGTGTGTGTGTACTCCTGAAGTTTTGTTGTCGACACCTGAGGTGTGGATAAAGTGACTGCAGACACTCAGAGTGCAACCTGAGCATGACCGCTCCTGTTTCACACCTGAAATACATACATCTGTGTGTGTGTGTGTGTGTGTGTGTGTGTGTGTGTGTGAGAGAGAGATAGGTAAAGGGACACTTCACCTGAGGCAGGATGTAATATTTATGGAACGTCAAAGTGTTTCAGTTACCTGCCACAGGAGATGACCGCTGAGCCACCTGACTCACACACACACACACACACACACACACACACACACACACACACATGCTGGTGTCACATGTCAGATAAATTAGCGAATCAAACAAATGTCCTCAGTGTGTTTTTTTTGTGTTTGTGTGTTTCAGGGGAGAGTGGAGGTGGAAGCTGGAAACGAAAACATGAAGTTTGAAACCGGCCCGTTCTCCTACTACGGAGTCATGGCTCTGAGCTCACCAACGATGGGTGAGACGACACACACACACACACACACACACACACACACACACACACACACACACACACACAAACCCACATATGCAATAAGAGTCGTTCAAATAAACATAAAACATCACATTTTCACACTCTGTGGGGGCAAACAAACAAACATGACGTTTTGCTTCATGGTTCCTCCTTTATCGTGTCGTAATCTGCTGTCTGGACTTTTTCTTCATTCTGAGTAAATTAAGTCAGAATATGATTATAATGAAGATGCAAAAAAATTGCTTGCTTTGTCTTGTTTACTTCTTGGGACTTCATGGGCTCCGTAGTAAACATTTGTGATTGAGGTAAATGTTTTATTTGTAATGTAGTTTTCCTGCACTCGGTCGTTTCTCGGTCGCGCTCACATTCTCATCTGCACACAGTTTCTATTACTTGTAAGATTCAAGGTTTAAAGGTGAAAACAAAAGCAGTAACCAGAATCCTTCCTATAGTCTCTGTTTATTCTAACAAACACACAACGTGCTGTTTGACAAAGTGCTGCGTCAGTGAGTTTGAAGTGAAGCTTTGTGTTAGAGAACCAGCTGAAAGTTAATTAGGCTTAGTCCAAATAAGGAAACACTTCCTGCTGTCGGAGGTCGAGCAGAGTTCGTTTTGTGTCGTTCGGGGCTGTCAGGTGACGCCTGACAAATCAACCAGAGACACTAAAGAGATGTTCCTCCCCCGTTCATCGAGACAGAAGCTTACCTTAATCGGGTTAATTAAAATGTTAATGTGGCTGATTTAAAAATGTATTCTGGAGAACAACCAGCTGTAAAAATATCCTTTAAATAAGAAGCTGCGTGACGCTGTATAATCGAGGGGATAAAGATTTAATATAAAAAGTGATGATGTCGGAGCTGTTGGCACGGAGCTGAAGTCTGGCTGTGGTTAGCTTAGCTTAGCATAGACTTCGAGCAGGGAAAAACACTCCAAAAACAAACAAACAAACTGTAACAACACTTTTAAATCTCAGTAACCACCAGGGTACCCCCGTGCACGGTCACACGTTCTCAGGTGGCACACTGAAAATAACTTTAGTAATAATAACTTTGTGAGCGATCACCAGCCATCCCCAGATTCTCTCAGCTTAATAACCTTTATAGATCTTAGATTATTTCACACAAATGTACGCATTGATTCCCTTTTTTTTTTACATATCCAGACGAGCCTTACTCCAGAAGTCGTGTTTGACAAGTGATATGCTGGGATTATTCAGGTTTTTTAAAGCATCTTTTGCAAGCTCATTCCAGATCTCTCTTTTTGGGGGGTTTTACTGCACTTTGGAATAAAGATGTGCACAAATAGTCGACTTCTGTTGTGTTGTATCCTGTTTTAGTGTCCTTTTGGATCGTGCTGGATCATGTCGTATGTTTTGTATCATATCCTGGGATCCCATCCTATCCTATTGTATTATGTGTAGTTATGAACAACATCAGTGGCTGTTCCTGTCAGTTTCACTGAGGTGTATTGACACGTTCATATTGTGTCCTGTCTTTAAACAAAGCTAAGCTAACCACAAAGTGACTCCTGCTCTGTATTCAACGTATTGACAATTCTTTAGCAGTTTTTTTTTTGTTTTTTTTACTCCTTTTTAAGAGTATTAAGATCTGCTGCAGTCATCAAAATCTCATCGTTTACTTTACGTTGCCTTTTTCATATAAAGAGTGTAGACAGTGCATCACAATCTGCAGCCTGTCTTTGAGTTTTAAGTGAAATGCTGCACTGCTTTTTATTTTTCTGGGTGAAGGAGTGACCTGTGTGGGCTAATAACGTTTTTCCATTTAATCCAGTAATGATCTCATATTTTATCTTCCCTTATAAAGCCATGACTAATCATACAAGTCAGTCACACTCCAGCGTGTTTATCCTTTACTTTGCTAAATTCATAGCTGTTTGCAGCCAGCAGGAGTGCAGATATGAAGCTTTGAAGTCAGATTTCAGCAAAAAATAAAAATGGAAATCAAAGCAGTAAATGAGGACAAAGGGGTCAGAGGTCCACGCGGTTATATAACACGGCCGTCTTTTTAAAAGATGCATGTTTGAAGAAGGAGATGGAGGCTGTGTGTGCAGGTGGATGATGAAAGCCTGCCTGAACAGGCGGAGCTGCTGTCAGGCAGGACTTCTGTTAGGCTCCATTTTAAAGTTGTGTTTCTGCTGCCCCCGTGTGGTCCAACATTGTAACTGCAGCTAAAATGTTTCTCCTCACGTTTTTTCTTCTTCTTCTTCTTCCTCCTCCCTGCTGTCCTGTTTATTCTATCCTGTCTCTGTCCTGGATAAACTGCCGTCTGTACGTCCTGCAGCTCAGTGTCTTTGCATGTGCAGTGTCAAATGTACATATGTTAAAGACTTTGGAACATTTCTCATGCTTAATGCCCATTTATTATTTAAAGTCAGCTTTCTCTTTTTGAAAATTATGTCTTAAAAATAAAAATGTCGCCTGGGATTTAGATCAAGACAGATAAATTAAAATAAGACAAACAAGATCATCACTAAGGGGTTAATCAGTTACAAAATATTTATACCTGGGCTCTATTTTTAACATAATGGTGAGATGAAACCCAAGGTGATTTTTAATGCTCAGAGTAGCAGACCACATGTAGATGTTGTGATAATTGTTGTCAGGTCTTTTAGGGGGGCACTCACATTAGGTCCAGTTTTCCTGTACAGTGCTGAAGCACGATTATGTCGTAATATGTCGCATTGAAGGCAGCGAGCAGCGTTGAACTGCTAGTCTAACAACGAGGATTTTAAATGTATTTTAAATATGTAAAATGAATCCTTTTACCTTTCTTTGCGTTTAAAGGGAGCACATTTCCTTTTGTTGGGACCTAAAATTAAAGACTTCCACAGGTCAGAGGAGAGGAATGAGTCCATAAGGTTAAGTCCTGCACACTGTCTAACTAGCAATGAATAAATACAGTTGTTGCCAACTCTTTGCTGCCACACTTTGGACAAACATCTTCCTTTTTGTCCTGAAAGAGTAAAGCTTAGGCGATTTATATGTTGTGTTACTTTTCAAAGTTAAAAAATAAGCACAGGAAAAATTACATCTACATGAAACTTTATTTTTTTCTGTTAATGTAGATATGACTAGTGGATAAAAATGGTAAAAACATGCTTTTCATCCGTGTGTGTGTGTGTGTGTGTGTGCCACCCCTGCAATAGTCAGTGGGTCACCCCAGTCAGAGTCTGGACACGCCCCTGGTGGCATCACACAGGGATGAGAGATTCCCTCTCTGCTGAAGTGATAAAAAACAAAGAAGAAATAAACAAGCCCATTTCTCTTTTTCTGCCCCTTCCTGTCCCTCCTCTCTCTCAGCTGTCACCCCTCCTCTCTCCCCGTCAGTGGCGTCCCCCCCTCCACGACGCCTCTCTCTTAAGAGGTTTTCTCTGTTCACTCGTTTTCCAGGTAAAGACTCGCATGGGCCAGAGGAGAGAGGGAGGTTATCTTCTTTGAGCCAATCTCCATTTTCCCTTCTTTTTTTTTCTCTCCATCATCTCCGGAGCCCTGATCCAGCAAGTTCAGACCCCGAGTGAACACGGGATGTGGGGGCAGTCTGCATAGTAAAAGTTTAATTAGCTTTTTGCCTCTTTTTGATGCTTTTCTGAGCAGACGCTGGCCCCTTTGAGTCATCTTTAATCCTCAACAAAGGCATCGAAAAGAAGAGCAAACCTTAAAGTCTGATCATTTTCATATCTGAGACTGATTATAAACTGAAATTCTTGAATATTATTGCTGAAATTACACCAAATGCAAGAACAAAAAACAAGTTTTTATTCCAAAGAATGTTAAACATGTCTATTGTCTAAGTACAAGTTTATAACCAAGAGTTTTGCTCTTTATAAATATCTCAAAAGAGATAATAACTTGGATATTTCTTATTGCACTTACAGCATTTGATAGAGCTATAAGATTTAAATAAAATCAGTATAAAAAAAAGTGAGAGTTTTCTTAGACTATACAAATAACAGCATCTAGAAAAATAGTGCAAATTTGATATGAATTTAAAGCCAAATGTAATGGTGTCAGGTGCATGTTTTACAGATTCCTGCAATGCTAAAGATATTTTATGATTATAGTTAAAACCCTAGTTCAACCTCCAAAATAAGTAGGGGATGTCTTAAGATTGTTATTTTTCTACAAGCATCAGTTAAAAACTCATAATTGCTAAGTTTTCTCTCACTTTTAAAACACCAGGACAAGTTTATGTTCTGCCCGCTATTAATCAGTAAGTAAAGAAGTATTGATTAGCATCACAGAAATGATACGGTGCTGCAGCCTTGGTCCTGTAACGTGCTCAGGTCGATTTATTCCGAAGGGGATTGTCAAGCCAAGAGCTAAATACAAGTATATATCAACAGCAGAATTCCTCACAAGTCATGACATGTCCAAGAAGCAGACGCTCTCTCAAGTCTCAGCAGGAGGTCAACAACTTGCTGGATGGGGCTCTTGGTGTACTGAGACTAACCTCTAACCCCTAACACCTCCTCCCCTTTAACCATTGATTTACAGTCAGATTCAACTCACAACCTCTGAGATATTCCAGAAAAAAACAAAACTTTTCTGACCATAGATCTCTGGTTAAAGGATAAGTATGACATTCGAGAACTATGCTTATTTGCTTTCTTTCCTCTTAGAGTGTGATGAGAAGATTGATACCAAACTCATGCATGTTCTTTAAATACAATTAGCATAGCAGCTGGCTAGCTTGGCTTAGCTTAGCATAAAAAAAATGGAAACCACTAGTTTTATAGGTACAGAAAAACAATAAGATAATATTGTGTAACTTGATAAGCTTTTAGATTGACGTTAAATTAAAAAAGTCGATGCAAAGATGTCAAATTAATGCAAATATATAAATACAAATTTGCACAGCTATGCAAATGACAAGAATAAGTAAAAGCAAATAACAAAAAATGTAATGTGTGCAAATTCATTTTACTTTTAACAAATCTTGAGTATGATATATGTCATTTGGCATTATTTTATGACCCATTTATGGAATTATATTACAGCACAACGTGTTGCTTGTAGGTCCCTAGCGCAGTTGTAGAACAGTTTTGGGATAACATACGACTAGTTAGCTAGATGCATAACAGTGTTAAAACACAAATAAAACTGGTTTGCTTTTCGGAAGTAGCTTGATTTAGGAAAAGTTAATTGGTCTACCTGACAGAGCTAGACAAACTTCCCCCAGTGCTAACCTTAGCTAATGTGCTACAAAGCTACCTGTAGGACATGAAAGCAGTATCAATCTTCCAACCTAACTCTGAGAGAGAAAGAAAGAAAGAAAGAAATATTTTTCTCAAAATGTTGAACTATTCCTTTTAGCATTAGTTCCTCCCACTTGATCTCCTCAACTGGCCGTCGCTCTCTCTCCTTTAACACAACCCTTCAAGAAAGGAGGGTCACAAGGACACTCTTCCTGCTCTTCACCACCCTCCATGACATCACTAAAACCAGCCAATCAGAGAGGTTTCTCCTCAAAGCTTGCACAGTCCTGCACTGTAGCCATAAAAATGCTCAAACGATGCACTTTGCCTCACCGCATGGCATGTTTGTCGCATTCTTTTCATATCAAACACAATCTCATCTCTATCATCAGTCATCCACAGCAGGATGATGATTTAGACACTAATATATATTCATGTTATATACGTGTATATGTTTGTGTGTGGTGTGTTTCAGTGTGATCATGCTTACTGCTCTCACTAACGTCTTCCTCCATTATCCATGTTTTCACATCTTGTTTTTCCTGATGTTTCCGGGTGTTTGTTCTCCTTTTTTGTTAATGTTTAAATTTTGTGTGTCAGTGCCTGGTTTAGTTTTTCTCACTCTCTTTTTTATCGACCCCAGAGTTTCGTTCCCCGTCACATGGGGGCAACCTCAACCGCTCGGCGTCTCTGAGCTGCACTGAGCGCGCTCCGGACAGCGCCTCGGTGGGCGGGAGCATCAACCAGATCCCAGGGACACCCTTCCAATACATAACAGACTTCTGCGTCCGTGCCCTCACAGACCTGCAGTTTGTCAAGGTAACGGACTGTTTCAACACATACCAGTTAACAGATTCTGGAGCATATTTTTTTCAGCTCTGGTACTACGGTGGAAGTTTCTTACATCATTTACTTCTGCAAATTATCAGAAGAATATTGAGGTTAAAAAAACTGGCCTCAAGGACCAATGTGAAACTCTATTGTGTTAACATTGAAGGGGGAAATCTTTGGAAGTAGTGAAGAACACAGATTCATCGATTCAGCCTTTAAAGCCTCAAGGCGTTTGTCTGAATAAATCTACTAAGCAATTCCATTTTTTGGTTCCTATCAGTCATCAAGATCCTAAAATATGTAAAACTACAGGTTTTTAAAATTCCAGATTCTGGCTTTATCATCATTTATCTTCTTTAATCGGTGTTGTTTGTTTTCTTTAGATCACTCGTGCTCAGTACCAGAACGGTCTCCTGGCCTCCAGGCTCGACAGCTCGCCTCAGACCCCAGACGGCAGTCACACTCGTCTGGACACATCTGCCTCATTGCCCCCCATCACGCCGCCGGGGACCCGCGTTCCACTGCCGCTGGCCACACCTCCTTTTAAGCGCCAGACGTCTAACACTCAACTGCCACCGAGCAGCCGCTCGCTGCCCCAAACCACCTCGTCATCCGGACGCAGACCCAGCCAGTCTCTGCCCCAAGCCACTCCCCCTCCGATTAACCACACCCCCATCTCCCAAACCCCTGCGTCTTCCATGAGCATAGCCATCTCCAACCCCCACCCGACTCTGACCTCCTCCAGGTCCCAGCATTCCTCTGCTGGCTCGGAGAACGGGGCGGGAGAGACCACCACTCTGCTCAGTGAGCAGCAGAACTGTGTGGGCCCGCGCAGACCCAGCCACGGCCAGGCCCACCCCCACCCACAGGTCCACACCATCAGTCATACACACACTGAGAGCACCATCTAACTCGAGTCCCTGTGGGGGGAAACTGCCCGTGCACTCAGTTACAAAAAACACACACTAGCACTTCTTCCTGATTCCTGTTTGCTCGTTGTCTCCTGAACTTGAAGTCTGAGGAGCAGCACATCGGTGTATTTTGTAAACGGAGATCCTTCCTTTATCCCTTCCTGCATGCCCCCCTCCCTCTCCAACACTAAACAATATCAAGAATAGACTACAAAGATGGCGGAGGCGCATGGAACGCCGTTGAGCGTGATTAGACAGGATGTGTCTAACTTAAAGAATCAGTTCACCAGGTTTCAAAATTATTAATTTTTTGCCTTCAACCCAGAAAATATAAATCTTTCTTAAAGAAACACTTTCCCAAATTTTGAAAATAACAGCACACAAAACTGAAACCATTTACAAGTTGCTTTTTTTGTAATTTGTGTGAACTGGCCCTTTAAGTCATCGCTGGTGAGACATTAGCAGAAGACTCACGTTCCCACCTGCTGCGTCCCTTCAGCCCTGCTACACACACTACTTTAAACCAGTAACAGTTGAGCTTTATTTATTTCTTTCAATTTCTGTTTCTATTTTTCCAAAGAGTGCAACTTCCATAACCTGACACCGTCGAGGTTTTAACTTCAGTTGTAGTTCGTTATAGAACAGCAGTTTGTATGATTGTGTGGTTGGGATTTTGGGGGTGGCTTTTATAGTCGAGGGACAGACATGTGGGAATGAATATCCCCTTGTCTCTCCTCTGTGCTGAGCTGCTGGTGGGTCTATTTCACTTCCAGCAAACAGACCAGATTCACTGTACTGTAAGGATTTTGTGATCTGAGGTGAAAGTTGAACAACCATAACGCTGATTTTGCACGATTCTGCCACAATACAAATCCTGGACAAAAAATATATTTTCTTTGGATATATATCTTAGAAACTTAAAATACTTTTATTTATTTGCAATTATTTATATCTTAGAACATTACTCTAATGGAGCAATATGTAAGATATTTACTAAATTAAATCATAAAATGTCCTTACTATATGATCAGACATTAAGGAAACATGCTATGTTGAAGTGCTGGCTGCTTTTGACAACAATGCAGCAGCCAGTATGTCCTCCTTCTAACTTTAGATTCTGGTCTGGATTTGTTTTGACCAGAGAAGGTAGGCAGTTTTAAGGCACCCCCACACAGACGTTTTAGACACCCCTCGATTTACCAGGCAAACGTCAAACCAACAGGTGTTGCAGCGATGGAAGCGGGTCAAGAGTGTCGGGTACAATCACTTCTATCTGAACCACGGGTCAAGTGGTTCAGATAGAAGTGATTGTACCCGACCTAAAAAGCCTCTGCATGTTTCTAATAAGCTCCACGAGCAGAAACGTGCTCAAACTAGGATCAATATTGGAGATGCTTTTGAAAAATGGAGAGAGGTTAGAACACAGAAAGGTTTACAGACCCATGCAGAGCTGGATAACACTGAAGCTTCAGAGTCCACCACATGGTGACCTGAGTGAGCATCGACTCTAAAGAGGAGGGGGGGAGGGGGAGACAGCTCTCTATGATGTTTAGAATTTATACTGCAGTACCCATTTTAAACACTAGGTGTCAGAGTGACACATTGCTCCTTCAAAACAAAAAAATTATTCACAAACAGAGCTCTGGTTGGCCAGACTCCTGCCAAGACAAATTAAGCTGGCCAATCAGAGCCCTCTTTGCTGCCACTAGATTTAGGTGTTTTAAAATGAAAGAGATTCAAAATGTAAATGTTAAAGATTATCACACATTTAGAAACTAATAAGTGAATGAAATAACAGAAAAGTATTTTTCTTTTAAAAAAAAAAATGTATCCCACTGGAAGACAAAGTAAAGACAAAAAAAATATTAATGGTTTCACTAATCAGATAATGATAGCTTTATGCACTTTTTAGTAACTGGCAATAATTAAACTATTTTTTTTGCCCTACAGAAACAACGAGCCAAAAAAGCTCGCCATAGAACTCTGAACAAAATGTATGCATGAAACTGGAAATATTCAGCAACATAAATAATCATTACATCTTATTTGTAGCTAAAAGGCTCAAACTTGCAGAACCAGCGTAATGGTCCTTTAAGTCAAC